AGCTAAATGGCTAACAAATGGAGAACAGATGCCTCGGTAGAGCATGGACATTGGAACACGCCTTGACGGTTTCTGATGACGTTTGTCCTAGCCAACCGGGGCATCACAAAGGTATCAAAGTGAGGTTCGTTGACATTGAGAAACACCCTAAGTCTCTCAGCGACGCTATATTAGATGCCAAGTATCCTTCTATGGGAGCCCATGAGAACAAAATGCATTTACTGATTTACAACAAGTGGTTGCAGAACCTTTGCCATTCATAAACATTGTTGTTTTACATAATTACCTGTTTGCTCATTGCCAGTGATGAAAAGGAGTCTGATATGCTTGTCATTTTGCTGGAGGTTGCGCTCCCAGGGAGTTTTGCCCCTAATGGCCATCTGTTGGTAAAGTCTTACTCAAACACACAAATACAGCTTACTTGCAATGTTTTAGGTGTGTACTGCCCCCTATCGCCAGGGAAAATACACATCGTCAATTTAAGATGCAGGCTGAACATTAAAATAGTCTCCTACACCTATCTCCTGCATTCGCTTCTAGAAGATGAAACTCTAGGATTAGAAAAGCCTGACAGATCTACGTCACACTGTCACCTTACATTCATGGACTCACCCATCTTAACTCACGATGGGAAGGACTGTTGTTTTAACATCCAGGAAACAGCAGAGAAGGTCTCAGTTAGTAGAAGCTAACCATTAGCATTAGCAACTCCACCACACGGCAGAACTCCTCAAAGCTTGTTATTTGTGGAGATAAAACATCAACGTTGAAGAGCAGAGTCAATGGTGGAGTTGTGTTGCTGTTAGCCAATCAGAGGCAAGATGCCCAAATATCAGGAACTATGACTCTCCGTGAGTACAACTCACAAGGTGTTCGTTCCTTTTAAGCCGGGCGTACACTGTGCGACTTTTTCACTCGTAGCACTCAGCTTCAGCTCAAACTGTACGACTTCCTCGCAGAGCAGATCTCACAAGTCGTGCTCACACTGCACGACCCAGTTCTCGGATGCGATCTGGCTGCTCACACTGTACGTCTGGTAGCAACACGTCGGCCCTAAAAATATGCTAAAAATAGCAGTTTTTACTCAACACGTCAGACTTTTTTGTCTTGTTTTGCCTGTTGTCCTTCGGGAGTGCTGCAGGAGGACACACAGGGATTTATGGGGGTTGGATGAGGAAAACGAAATAAAGAAAGTAAATCTGTGTTTTGTGATCAGCTTAATTTGACATGAACACGACAAACACGCTTTCTTGACAATCTTTGTGAGTAAAAAAAAACGTGTAGAAATTAAAACGAACAACGTGTGTTATTAGGGAAATAGCGGGGAGCGGTGTTGATGCAGGATTGCGCATGCACCATGAGCGGTTCTGATCGTAGCGCCGCTTCAATAGTGCAATACCCTCACGAGGGTCGAGCAAAATATTAAACACGCCAGAAGTCCGTGCGAGCTCATGATTGCTGATCGGTAGCTGGTCAGGTGGTGTTAATCGCCTCTCGTAACCCCCAGTGCACTACACGACGCTCGGCGCAAAACTCGCCCCAATCTCGTGGATTCTCGCACGAGTGGAAAATCGGCTCAAAAAAGTGAAAAAGTCGCACAGTGTACGCCCGGCTTTAGAGACCACTACGAATCTAATAAAAATATGAGTGAAGAACCTCCTTGAAAAGGACCACAACTTTTGGTCAAAAAGCATATTACTCAGTCCAATTATTTATTATTGGTCGGTTTTTGGGTGAATTTACGAATATATTTGAGTTCTCAATAGCTTACTTTAAACATATATGAAAATACACAGAAACATGTTAAAGAAGACAGAAATTACAAAACTTAACAAATTCAGACATCCCCAAGAGAAAACTCTTCCTTTCGCTCTCTTTTCTGACCTTCGGTAGCCCCCCCTGGCCAGCTCCAGCCCGTTTTTTTAGCACTCGGCCATGTCCTGTTAAACAAGGACCGTGTTGTGGTGTTGTGACCCACGTTTGCGGGCAGCTTCATGGCAACTTTTGCTGGCCTTTTTTCTGCTCTCATGTCCAGTCTGCCTCCATCTGCTGCTGCCTTCACCACAGTCCCTTTTTTTTTGGGGGGGGGGGGGGCTAATTCTGCAGTCAATTAGCAGAAGGGCCCGCTTTTTGTTCTCTCGCCGGCTCCCATGGGCCCTATCTGCTTCACTGCTCCCTCGCTCCATTTCGATGGTTCTCACTTTCTGTCTCATTTATTTGTTCATGGTGTTCTCTCTCTCTCTCTCTCTCTCTCTCTCTCTCTCTCTCTCTCTCTCTCTCTCTCTCTCTGGTTAAATAACTACTTTTGTTTCAGTCTCTCTCCCCCTCTCTCTCTGTTATTTTGTCTGTCATATTCTCCACACTTCCGCCTTTCCTGCTTTCCCATCCAACCTGAATCCTGTGAGGTTTTGGGTGTCTAATTGCCATATTTCCCTTGCCTGCTGCTCGATGACCTTTGCGACTTTGTTGGCCAAATGGTGTCCCCGGCAATCATGAGCCATAAAAGATATAACACTATTGGTAAATATTATCCAGCCCTTATGGATGTGTTTTACCATCAGCTATTAGTCTAAACTGCAGACATTAGACAGTAGGCTATAAATTAGGAGAAATGCATTCTTTTTTTTTTTCATTTTACAGCAGATGTGCACATTCTTACATCACAATGGTTGTTAGTACATTGTGCTTGAATATTCTCTTGGTTTCATTTGACGGTAAGATATTAATCCAAAATGTTGGTTCTAACAATTACTTTTGAAAATGTTCTGAATAACTGAGCACAAGCATTTGATTTATTTTCATTTAAGAAAATTAGGGGAAATTCATCTTGAGAAATAAAAAAAAAGCTCTATAAAATATGCTATAAATCAGTCTTTTTTTCCCTGTCGGCCTTTTGATCGATGCAGCACCCTGTGGGTCTTACCCTGCTGTTGTCCCAGTGGCTCTACCTGGCCCTACTGAGCGGTACCTGTCTGAAGTTAATAAATCATTTTGGCATTATAAAATATTCAAAGGAGGAGGGGATCAGGAAAGGCCAGGTTAAAGAAATTCTTAAAATTTCATGGCATGACAGCCTGTTCCACATACCCCCCCAGCTGCTTCGTATTCTTGTGTGTGTGTGTGTGTGTGTGTGTGTGTGTGTGTGTGTGTGTGTGTGTGTGTGTGTGCGTGCGTGCGTGCGTGCGTGCGTGTGTGTGTGGTGAGGGGTTGGGAGAATCTCCTGTGTCACTCTAATAGTCTAGAATTACACTTGTATCAGTGTCGCTAGCATATGGGGTCTATGTATACCCTTAGGCCCATCACACTGCCTTCCACCTTCCACTGTCATGGCATTTAAAGTGATACAGTTTGTGCAAAGCTAGTTTTGACAGAAAAAGTGAAAAGCTGTTTCCCTCCTTAGCCTGACGACAGAGCTGTGCAGCCACCGGGGGCCCCTGCCACTGAGCAGCCAATCACATGATATTTTACAGGATAATGATGGAGCGAGGGTTTGCCTCCTTAGTGAGCCACCGTCTCCATCGCTGTCTCTTGCTGCTTCTTCACGTTCTGCTTTACTTTCAGGGCTGTGTTCTGTTATATCCCCTCCCTCCCCATGCAGCTTCTGTGTCCTAAGTGCAGCTAACGGGGGGATTGCTGAGACCACTTTGTTAAGTGAATTTGAATTCATTGCACATCAACATTGCTGATTGCATTGCCGTTGGTGTGGTAATACATTTCCAAACATAAAGCATAAATCAAAGTTTTACTATAGGCTGCCATTATATAACAGGCCAACAGCTTCGGCTAGGGTGCACTAATCCTGGAAATAAATAACCCTAAAAAATAAAATTTCATGATTTTTGAAATGATGAATTTAAATTCAGATAAATATGTTTATTTTTTCCCATTTCATTGAAACAGTTTAATAAAAGTGATCATTAATATAAATTGTATTCCTTTACTCCATGTACAACAACACCTCATGAACCTTTTACATATTTTTATTTTAATGTGGTGTGGTAAGTGTTGCATCATATTCAAACACCTACATTTTAAAGAGTTATTTAAAAAAATAAAACAAGTTTGGGGAACATCTTACTCAAGCAAATATTTTACATTTGTATGTTGATGCTGCACACTGACAGGATTTGGATTTTTCTAGCCTGAATGTTTTTGTCTAGCCAATCACAGCGGTTGTAGGATGGACTTAGCACCAAAGCTCTGATGAAGAAAAACTACACTTCCTCTTCTTCTTGAATAATATTTTTCTTCTTCTCCTTGCTCTTGCTTCTTTACTTTTTCTTTGCATCTTCTTGTTCACTTTTCGCTTCTTTGCTTTCACTTCTTTTATTCTTATTTTATTTTTTGTATTTGGTTCTTCTTTGCTTTTGCTTCACCTTCACTTACATTTCTTCTTCATTTCTTGGCTTCTTTGCTGTATTACTCACTTTTGCTTTATCTTATTTGCTTTAGCTTCATTTTAACTTTTCCATTTTTTGCTCCTTCTTTGCCTTTGCATTTTTAATTTTGCTACTTTACCATACCATACCATACCACCTTTATTTATATAGCACTTTAAAACACAGCCATACGGCTGACCAAAGTGCTGAACAGTCGCACAATAATAGAAATAAAACACATAAAACAGTACTATAAAATACAGCCAACAATAAAAAAAGACAAGCCGACTTTGCGTAATCCCTCCTTTTTAGTTCTCTTTTATTAGCTTCTTCTTCTTTGCTCTTGCTTCATTACGTTTCTTCTTCTTCGCTGCTTTTCTGATTTTGCTTCTTCTTTGCTTCTTCTCTTCTTTGACTTTGTGTCTTCTTTGTTTTCGCTTCTTATTCACTTTTAGTTTTTATTTGCTTTTGCTTCCTCTGCTTTGCTTCTTCTTCATTTGATGATGAAGATGTCCTATTTGTTTCAGTCTGACCTATGAGGAAATCCAATGTTCTGACAGGGCAGCAGCTGCTTAAAGAGCAAGTAACGTCTAAATTAACTTTTCTTTGCTGATGCACTGTATAAATGAGTGTCTAATAGTGTTTTAAATGTGTGCATTCTTTATTCTAGCATTTTGGTGCATTTTCTTTAAAAATTAAAAATTCTGTCTAAAAACCACAGTAATGCGCCACCTTCAGCTGAAAACATAGAATTTGAGACATTTTGAATAAATTTTAGCCAATGGCTAAAGAGTAAAATACTACGTAAACCAGTAGAGTACTACGTAGCAGCTCCGTGCCAAAGTTATAAAAGCAACGAGCGTCTCGGCCACGCCCTGTGGCGAGTGGGAGTTGGATTTGCAAGCGAGCGTAGGAGGTCAGCGGTAGTTCAGCATTAGCATATAGCATTAGCATATCCTAGTCTTTAGCATATCTTTTAGTGTTATAAATACTTATTTAGTGTTAGTTTGGCTGTTGGATATTGTAGTTTAGTTAGTGTTTGGCTGTTAGTTTAATTGGGAAAGTAGTTCGGGTTTAGTGTTCCAGATCGTCTTAGTATTGGTGAGTAGGTGTAGTGTAGTATGCTTGCGGTGACTCTGTGGGCATTTTACCCGCGATTCTGCACGTCTCCGTTTGAAGAGGGAGGCTGCCCACCGTGGCTCTTCCGCGATTTAGATGCAGCCCACCGACTCTGCTCCCCCACCACGGTGGGCTCCAGTCTGAGGTGAGTAAGCTAAATAAACGTTTTAACATCTTCTAAAGACAGTTCCCTACCTAAATGCAAAGTCTGAGAGACGTGGTTCACTCCATTTAGCTAGTCAGTCGGCAATTCTGCAACAGTGGCTCTAACTGATGCAGCACTAGTTGACAGACAGCATTACAGCATGAAATCCAGCTTGTGACCCGTTCCGTGAGGAATTCTGTTCAGGAGGTCACATTTCAGGCTCTCCACATCATATGTGACTGACTTTTACATTATAACAACGATCACACACTAGGAATGTTATAAAGCGCCTTTAAAGGAGATTCTTTTGTATATTATCTGACTTTATAAACTCCCAACAACAATGTGCTTATATATTTTTTTTCAGGCTAAATCTACCCAAGACACTGGCTGTCAGACTGATTTAGCTGCAAGAATGCACTTGTCCAGGCTGACGTGAAACCTTCCCTGTAGCAAAGGTGAATTATTTTTAATAATCTTCTATGTAAACATTTTATTATTACCTTCTAGTTTTAATTTGTTTTACAGATTATTGTTACATGTGATTTTATGCTCTTTTAAACATTTATAAATGTGCTGCTTCTTTGTTTTTACATAGCCAGCCAGAATGGAGTTCACAGCCGCAGTGTGTCTGGTGACCCACGGGGACCATGATGAAAATTCATCTTCCAGAAGGTCCCAGAGCAGCGGCCACACCCCCTGAAAAGACCAAGATGTAAGGTGTCTGCTGTTGATTCCAGCTTCCACCTCAGTGACAGTGCAAGCTCAGTGAACTGTTCAAGGTAAAAAAAATTTAAACATTTCAGAATTTTTAAGATATTAACAATTAAATATGTATGTGATTACATCATGACGGAGGCTACTGATTCTGCCCCCGTGACACTTGGTGGTGACGTATGAGCTGATTCACCTGGAAAACAACTTTTACATTAAATATTTTGTTTTTGCTATCAAAAGTAAATTAACTAATAACCTGCATTATTGTAGGACACTCAGCAAAATATGGACTCTACACCATGAGGCAGGCACACGTTAATATTCTATAAGAGCACATAAGGTGAGCAACACCACATATTGTACACTGTCCTGAATTTGTTTTCTTTCTGCATCTCATTAGCCTGGCTGATCACCTGATAACTCCTGTCATCTGGTTATGACAGCATGAGGATGTCCTCACACCTGTAACCTATCAGCTCATCTGGCAGAATAGAGAGAGAAGAGACAACACCACATCTCCTGTTCCTGGAAAGCCTTCAGCCATCCTTCGATGACTGAGAACCTCCATCAGCTCTGTCTCCTGTCTGCCTACAATTATTATAATAAATATTGTGTTTGACAAGTTTAAATGTGCTGCCAAATATCTCATATAGAATCCAGTTTGGATATTTTAATGGATATTTATAAATTACATTAATTGAATTATCACATTGCATGTTTAACTAGCTCTATTGTGATGAATTAAACTAGCACCTCACTGTTAAAAGCTCGTTTTAATTTCAAGCATGTTTAAGTATTTATGGACATGAACAAAAACAGGAAATATATCAATTGAGATTTATTTAATTGATATAACAAATAAGGGGGAAAGAGTCATTGAAAGGCACATTCTTCTGGAAGCTCCTGATCCTGACGACACCAGACCAGCTGCAGACACCAGAGGACCTAGAACCAAGAGAGCAGCTGTTATCAGTAAATAAATAAATCAGGGCAGTTTTAGTGAGCTGAACACATTACAGAATAATTTTCTCATGGGGTATTTTCATAACTTTATATGCAGCAGACTGTAACTTGAGCCCAGGGCTACCGGAGAGCTGCTGTTGTGATTTGAAGTTGTATATTTATATACTGTAATTAGATAATTTAATTACCTGATTTTGTATATTTATACAATCTAAGTAATCAATCAGAAGAGGTTGGTTTTATCATCAGGGAGTTTACTTAAACACTTTGTATCGACTGAGAGACAAGAAAAGAGAGAGAGTTGGGATCGGTTTTAAGAATCTTTAATTTCTATAATTATAAATTCTTACAATCTACCAGGACTATCTCAATGATGAATGCATATGGATTTAGATGTTTCGTGTTGGTGTGTGTGTGTGTGTTTTGTTCAGAATCTCTAGGCTGACGTAGCGAATCTGGTTGTTTTGACTAGGCTACCACGAGGCTTCAGAAGCTGATGACATGAGCCGCCATTTGCCGTACCTTAGATGGAGTCTCCCGTGTAGATCAGGAATTGCCAGGTTCCAAGACCTCGGTTGTACTGGAGCTGGTTGAAACAGCGGTCACAGCACACAACGCCCGTCTGAGGATAACTCCGTTAGTGGTTGGCAGGCGTCAGCAAGTTCACTCTTATTTTGAAGGACCGCCGTCTCGTTGGTATAAACGACGGAAAATCTCCAGCTTGACAGATTTCAGCTCAAAGTGGGAAGTACAGCTGGCCAGTCTGAACTTCTTAATGATGACGATGGAAATCCTTAGGAACTCGGATGTCCTGGAGCTGAGTTTAACATGTAACTGCTTAACATGGAACTGACGTGGAAATGACTTAAAATGGCGTTGCCTTCTTTTTATATCTCCCATTTGTTTAAGAATCTTAGTAAACCGGATTGGACTACTTTCATAAACAAACCAGATTCTGCCCTACGACAGACGAAAGTTCTGATTGGTTGAAAACAATGTGTCATGCGTTTCCATGGTAATGCATATCAGTGTGACTGGTGCAGCCCTGTTTATTCATTTAAACACACAACTCATGACATCTTTATTTCACAGATCATTCACCTGATTATTAATGATCAACAAATGCTTTGATTAGCTTATCACAAATAAAGTACTTTGATTAATCAATGGAAAGCGTTCTTCTTCTGTTCTTCTGTCTCTTCTCCTGGAATGTAAACATACTGAACCAAGCGTCCGACCTTGGCGGTGTTACTGTGTGAGGGGGCAGCTGTTAAGGCAGACCATTATCAACTTCCTAACGCTACACTGCTATCCAGCACGTTTCAGTGGATTTTCCTGCTTTAACAAGTTAGATTAGCTGTTAAGCAGCTCAGCTATTTGTTGCTGATTAAAACCAGGTGTGCTGAAGCAGATAAACCTCTAAAACATGCTGAATACTAGCTTTTTAGGGCAGTGGAGCCAAACACTGCAGCTAATCCAATGCTATGGCTAACGGCTACTTACCATTCAAAGGTGGTTCTGTTGGGTCGGTTCTGGGAGTTTCAGGCAACTCACAAGCTCAAAACAATAAGGCTCAGGTCTGCTTGTCTCCTCCAAATAGGCTTGGTCCCTTTCTTCTCGAGTGTCTGGGTAAGGAGGGGGAGAAACATCCTCCACTTCTAATAACTGCATAGAGTGAAGGGAGCTAGCATCGTCTAGTTAGCCGTCGTCTTCGTCACTGCAGCGGCTCCGCCCTCTCGGTCCTCCAGGCAACGCCTACTAATGTTGCATTTTTTAAAATTGATACGTGGGTGGAGAAGGACTCCGAGGCTCAATTGACCCGCTCTTTAAGGGTATATATATATATATATATATATATATATATATATATATAACTGGATTCATGATTTGAATCTTGTGTAAGTGTTTTAAGTCCCTATACTGAAAGCAAAGCCCCACTCAGCAACGGCATAATAAGTTTTTTTATCTTGCTTGTTGAAATACGTTTTGTTTGCATTGTGAACAAGTGTTTTTGTGGGTGGGGATCAGATCACCACAATGAGTGGACTTTGCGGCTGAATAATTTCTTTGTGTGCTGTATCAAACTGCTTGAAAGCCCCAGAGTTTTGACCGCAGACATTTTTAGCAGCATGTAAAGATGTGGAAAAATGCACGCAAAGAAAGGTCAAAAGTCATCTTTGATACAAAATATTTAGAATTAAACCTGAAGTTCTGCTAAAGTTATAGCTTGTAGCCTCTCCAGCCTCTGCAACCCTGGCAGACAGTAATGCTGAAGTTCCTGACAGTTCCTGAAGATGATGCACACACACACACACACACACACACACACACACACACACACACACACACACACACACACACACACACACACACACACACACACACACACACACACACACACACACACACACAATATTGATATATCTTCCTCTTTTCATTTTTCCCATCTTGTCGCCCTTTCTGCCTTGTTAGTTTGACCTTTGAGAAAATTCCTAATATATTCCAGTAATTGCGTATCAAACCTCAAAGCATTCTTTCAAAAATGAAATTCTTCTTCACCTACATTCATACACATAACACATATATCTACACAAAATGTGCCTTCATAAGTAGGGAATCTCATACAAACACACACACACACACACACACACACACACACACACACACACACACACACACACACACACACTTGAATCTGTAATGGCTTGTGCATTTCTGAGTGCACTTGCATATATTACTAAAATGAGCTTGCAGGTGGGATTTTTGTGTACACACACAAACATAGCTCGCTGGCCTGCTAGTGGTGTAGGATTCATGTATTTTGATGATATGAAAGTTGACCACATTTACATGCAAATCGAAGTTGCAGATTAATAGGGTCTGTGGTGAGGGTGAAGAAAGGCTGCATGGTAATATGCTATTATGGCTTTTAAATACATTTACCAATGTTTTGATGCAAAATTATTATGGCCCCAGCATGAGGAAATCATGTTGGCTTGATAGCAATTTAGTTTACAATTGGGAATACAATTTCATTTGGTTCAGCTGTCATTTCCAATAATCGCTCAGAATGTGTTCACCAAATTGAGGATTCTTATCCTCACGTTTTGTTTTTTACTTCAACCTTGGTGCATAAAGGAACCATGTTACATAGCTACATTCACACCAGTCCCATTGTTTAAAAAATTCAAATGTTGTCGTGCATAGACCTTACCCATCTCGTTTAAAATATATACATATATATATATATATATATATATATATATATATATATATATATATATATATATATATATATATATATATATATATCTGTTGAGGGTCTGACCTCATGAGGAAATTACTATGCAGTGATTTTCTCCAAAATGACTGTGCTTAAATTGCTCTGAAAAGCAAATAATCACATCAGCGCCAAGAAACTTCATTTCCCATGATGCTTTGCACACGGAAGCATTGTGATGACGTCACCGCCTAATACCAGAAACACGATCTGCGGGAGGCGGGAGCTTGGAGCTTTCCCGCGACTTCAAAGACTATAAATCATGAATGAGACAAAGAAACCTCGTTCTTTTGCCCAGGATACCTGGCGGTAAGGACACGCTTGTCGAACGCTCCGACAACTTGAGCATGCGGAAGCTCTAAGTGCCCAAGTTGAGCCACGCAACCGCTGGAAACCACTCCAACTCCCATCGGGACCTGACTGGGAACGAGCGGAGCTCCATCCAGCTCTCAGAGACGCTGTAAGTTGTCAAACTCAGCCCAAAAGAAACTTCGTTCTCTTTGTGTCCAGCCCGTGGAGAAACACTCGTGGAGCCAAACAACGGAGAAAGCATCAAACCGACGGATGACGCTGAAAACTGCGGAGAAACACGGAGAACCGTCAAATCAAAACAGTGAGGGACGCCTCGCTCTTCTGGTGATCAGAAAACTCATTTTTCTCTCTCCTTTTCTCCTCCCGTTTCCTCTATAGTCCAGAATAAGCAATAAAACCGCGCTATTGCTTAAAAAGTAGCTTTGTGTTTTCCTCTTTCGCTCCCAAAACACGTCCGCCGGGTCATTTTGAAAGAATAAACTGCTTATTGATCATCGTTAATATCTTTAGTCGTCAGCTCTGGCCAGGCTGCCGACTCCTTTTAGATTAAATAATTTACAAGTGACCTTTTGTTGTTTGTTAACTTTTGAAGTGTTTGAGTTAAGTTTTACTGTGATTCTAAGCCACTAAGTGTTCGGGAAAGTAGAAAACTTTACACATCCAGGTCTCCTGTTGAATGCGAGGGGAGGGGAAGAGCCCCACACACATTCACAGCTCACTCCCCCCACCTACTCTGGGGAAACAAAGACCCATTCATCTCACACACACACACACACACACACACACTCACTCATACACACCACACAAACACCTTGAACATTATTTTGAATATACATCCTTTTATTATATCACATGGTTATTATTCATTTATGCCACTGTTTATTCATTTGACAAATTGTTAATTAAACGTTATAAAATTCAGATTTTCGTCTCCAGTAGCTTTGTTGTGTCGAAGAGAAGTCTCTGCTCCGAGGATTCTATGAACTTCAAGAAAGACTGATAAGAGTTTTGGATTCAATTTTCCCCGGTTAAAGGGGAATGGTGCCCCGTATATCTAAGAATATCTTAATTAAT